GGTCCTTAAAATTGTTCAACTCATTATGTGTATAAGGATCAATTTTCATTCATTGGACCCAAAGGAAATGAGAGAAATAAATAAAAGATCACACAATGTCACAATTTAAATCAATTAATACACTTCCAATATTAAAATTCAATTTTAATTGAAAAATAGACCAAAAAATAAAATAAAAATTTTCTAAAATAAAAAGACACCTCAAAGTGTCTAAAAAGTATTTTTGTGATTTTTTTGGATAATTGGAAGTAATTAAAAATGATTTAAATGCAAACAAAAATAAAATGAAAATAAAAATAAAATAAATAAACAGGCGGTGTAAATAGTAAAGAAAAGCAGTTGAAAATGAGATTGGGCCAAGAAGGGGGGTGCCATTAGTAGCTGAAGCCCAAGGCGCCCAAACAAAATCAGGGTTCAAACAAAAATCCACCAAGGCTGGTCAACAGAAGGACCAGCGTGGAATGCAATCAAGACCGTCTGATCAGCTGGTAATCCAATCATGTGGCCAAAAACATGCCAGCGCATTAATGAATAATTCAAACATTATTATGTGTTGTGTGGTCAAAGTGGTGCACGGTGTTTCTTAATCACAAGCGTCCAAACCAAAAGTAATCCAATCGTGTGGTGTGTGAGTCATCTTCTCCAACGAGAAAGTCAAACAAAACCATGGAAATCAGAGGGTGGCCGGAGATCCCTTCCGGTCATCTTCTCCGGCCGCCCAGCCACCGTGAATAGTTCCAAGAAATGCACAGGCATCAAAACTCCACCAAAATTAACAAACTAATAGTCAAAAATCATCATTTCATCACGAGGAACTCAAATCCAACATTGGTTTTCATGTTTGAGCAACATACAAGGCAAATCGAAGACAAATATAAAATGTGCACAAACTGTAAAACTCAAAATCAACCAATCAAAGTGTCTAGAATTCATCTACACTTCATGTAGAGTTCAAATCCATATTCCATTTACTTTAAAACCTTAAGAACAAGCCAGAATGAAAACAACAAGTTTTGTGCTCCAAACGAAAATCAACTCAAATGCCAGTTCATTTTACATATTAATGGTTTACATGTTTCCTATGTCTCAAATATGCAAGAATGGCACAGAATCATGGCTTAAAAAGAGAGATATGGTGATTTCAAAATTACCTAGTGGAGAACCTCCATTGGGTCTTGTCTTTGGCTGAACCTTCAAGCAAATCACCCAGAATCGTTCCAAACACTTGAATGAAGCTTTTAGTGTGCTCAATTTCACTTGATAATGGTCAAAACTCCAAAACCGAATCTCACTTTTCTCTCCTTTTTTTAAGTTGCTATTTCTGCAATTTCACCACCAATTCGAGCTCTGAGGGTTTGGGAAGTTTCCTAACCTTTTATGTATTGGGTTCAGATGAAAATGGAGCTTTAATTCATGCCCTAAAGCCCAATTGCCAATTCAATTTTCTTCACTTTTTTTACTTGCCATACTCGTTTTCTACCCACTGCACCAGCCTCAATTTTGTTCCAAATCAATTGCACATGGCCTGAGTTGATCAAAGGGCCAACAATTGGTCCTTGTTTTGATTCTATGGTGATTTCCCATTTGTTACTTCATGGTGAAGAAACCATGAAAATCACCAACCAAATGACCTCAAATGGAAAATGTAAAATTGGCATTGTATTTAGAACATCATTTGCACTCAAAATATGCATAAATTTGCCTTGAAAAAGTTCCAAATGAATTAATTCCCATTTTCTCATTTTAAGCCTTCTTTATGAAAAATTCAAACACCAATTCTTCAATCCAAGCTCCAACCATGACAAGAGATGATTTGGTAATGCAAATGACCCTATTTGAAGTAAGTTTCATATTGAAAAGATTTTCATTTGAAGTGTGCAAGTTAGTGAAATGGACCTATAATTTTATGACCTATAATCTTACTTTCCCAAAATACCCCTGACTTGCAAGCCTCATAACTTGAGTTCTACAAATCAGATGAATGACTTCTAGTACTCTTTGGAAATATAAAACCATGATCTACAACTTTCATGTTGGCCAAAAGTTGAGGAGAAACATCCTCCTAGGTCAAAAATGGCTTGGAAGTTGGTTGACTTTTGTTGACCAAAATCACATTCATCTGATGACCTGTAACTTGTCTGCATCATAACTTGAGTTCTATAAATCCAATCAAGTACTTCTAGTACTCAAAAGAAAGCTAAAAACATGCTATACAAGTTCCATGTTGGTTAAAAGTTGAGATGAGACTTGTATTTTAAGATAGGTGGTCTTGAAGTTAGGCATTAAACAGGGGATTTTACACTGAGAACCCTAATTTAGTAACTTCTCGCACTCTTGATCCTTGATGAATTGATCTTGAAATGATATATTAGACATCTCAATACAACATCCCATGACCATAGATACTTGGAATTAAGTTGTAACCTCCTTCAATTTCACAGTTAACTGAGAATTTATCAGATGAAAACCCTAGATGCAAAATTCTTGGTTGTGGCTTCTTCCACCTCACACAACAACTTGAATAAGCTCCAAATGGCTCTCAAAGCACTCAATGAGCTCTCTCAACATCTTATATCCATAATCATGCATTCACAATCCTCTGATACTCTTCAATTAGCCTCCAAGTTAGGAGCTGACCCACATACATCCATCCATCCTTTCACAAGACTATTGACCACCTCTAGATGACCTGATGACCATTCCAACTTGAGTAACACCCCTTGCTTAGGCCTAACACCCTGAGTGACCTCCTCTTGATATGCACAACCTCTTGATCCCCTGTTCAATGAAACATGCTATGCAATGCAAATGCTAGAAGAAAATGAAATGAAACATAAACCAAGTAAAGAAAGGTTGAGCAAATTTTGGGGTACAACAGCAGTCCCGACAACAGCGCCAAAAACTTGATCGGAAAAATAACAAGTGTATTATTTTTGCCGATTGTAGTTAAAATAGGGGTTTTATCCCCAATATCGATCTCGAGGAATGCGTAAGAATACAAGCTCTATAATAATTCAATTAAACAAAAATACTTGAGGGGTTGGTAATTGTTTTTGTTTTAAAATCAAAAGTTGCAAGGAAATATTCATTAAGAAACATCTTCTCCATCTCTTCCCAAGTCGTGATACTTCCTGCAGGTAAGGAGTAAAATCACTCTTCAGCATATTCCGCTAAAGTAAATGGAAATATCAATAACTTTTTTTCCTCTTCAGAATGCCCCTCAATCTTCAAAGTGGTGCTCATTGTAAGAAACCGTTACAAATGTTTGTTTGCATCTTCGTTCATTTTTCCTGTGAACGGTCTCTTTTCAAACTGTCGGATCATTGTCGGTTGCAACTGAAAGTGTGCCACGTTAATTGGTTGATTCATTATGGTCTATCGTCCTGTTGGAGCATTTGCTCCGCCATAGTCACCCAGAAGCCTCTCTGCCGGTGGAATGTCAGCCATAATAAAAGTCTATGGATGTGTCTCTGTATTAGTATTTGTGTCTGAATTAGATTGCTCATAATGAACAAAAACTTCTTCTTTTTCTTGCTCAGAAATTACCGATTCTGAACTTGACGCTGTCAGTCTTTCTCGTTTAGCTTTTCTGAGTCTAGCATGCAACCATCTTTCTGGTTCTGCGTCAAAAAGAAATTTAGCTGAGGACTTTCCTCGCATACACAAATTAGACAATTATTAGTAATAATAAAAATTTATATATAAAAAAAACAGAAAATAAAATTTTGGTCGCAGAGCAACAAAATTTCAATTGAATTAAAATTAAGCTTATATTTTGGCAGTCCCCGACAACAGCGCCAAAAACTTGATCTGAAAAATAGCAAGTGTATTATTTTTACCGATTGTAGTTAAAAATAGAGATTTTATCCCTAGTGTCGATCTCGAGGACTGCATAAGAAATACAAGCTCTATAATAATTCAATTAAACAAAAATACTTGGAGGTTGGTAATTGTTTTTGTTTTAAAATCAAAAGTTGAAAGGATAAAAATAAAGCAGAAGAATAAAAAGGTTTTTGATAGATATGAGAAGCATGTTAGGAATAGTGTATGAATTGCCTTGTAACAATATCAATTCTTATTTCAAAGACGTGCTCAGATTATCAAATTCTTGACTGTAAATTGTTTACTCCTAAATCCTTGATGAGAAAACTTCTTAATTTCATAACTTAAATACTATGTCCGTAGACAATTACGTTTAAAATCAAACATTACAAATAATATCAATAGTGTTTCAAGTGCAATGGTCAGCCGTTAAAAGAATCTTGCGATATCTAAGTGGCATTTTTATAGTACATGATTTACTTCTTACTTCAACTTCATTAACACACAAATTATCTCTAAGAGTTTACAATGACTGAGATTGAACCAGTGATATAGATGAATGTAGATTTACTTCTGATCCTTTTTTTTCTTTTTATCAACTCTCGTGTCATGGAACTCAAGAAAATAACTTCTTCTTGCTAAGTCTAGCATTGAGGCAGAATGCCATGCCTTGACTCAATAATTCATTAAAATAAAGTTTTTTTTTTATGATAACAACAAAACACAAAGACGATTTAATGGTTTCCTCCTGGCAACAATAAATTGCTGATACATTTCTTTTAGCCATATACGAAAACGTTAAACTAAATCAATGTTGTATACATATACATTTAATTGCAACGTTTTTTCAGCAACTCAAAAGTATAGCAGCATCCTAAAAATAGCTACATCCTAAACAATAACTTAAATGAAATACATTTTATTAACATTAAAATTAAAATTTATTATGTATTCAATCAAAACATAAATTTTATTTTTTTCAATAATAATAATAATAATAAAAATAATAATAATAATAATAATAATAATAATAATAATAATAGTAATAATAATAATAATACATTATTTTTATACATAAAATTACATTATTCATACATAAAACTTAAACAAAAAATCTTAACATAATTAAATCTATTTGCATCAAGATACATGTTGATAGAATCCTTGCTTCCAAAGTACTAATGATAAATCTTGATATGAGAAGTGCAATTGCTGACAACATCCTTGGAAGTGATATTAACAGAAATATCACATTGGTTAGTAGCCATAGCCTTCAATTTGATAAAACTGAGAATAGTGACTTTACCAGGAAGTTCAGCTTTTGAAATCAATGAAAATTTCGACCCATTTTCAATATCATTAAAAAAATTTGGATTTTCGATCAATTCACTGACCATGAAATTTGCATGAGTTGAAACATTGATTCCACCACGTGCTGGAACAAGTTGTGAAGGAATTGGAACAGTACCAACAAGAGTATCACGATAAGTTATATAGCTACAGGAATCTATATATTTGAAGTTCCCATAATTTGAATTCTTTATTATAATCAAAACGGGTATAGATATATTTGGAGATATATCTGATGTAAGGAAATCGAAACGTGAAGGTTTGACAATAATATTTGGATCTCTCACTTTGAAAACTGTAAAAATCAAGGTTACAGTTATGGTTGAGACAACAATGAGAACCATTGCAGATACACTCAAACAGATTTTCAAGTTTCTAGACACCATGGTGTTTGGGTATGATGAAATGGATTAGAAGAAAATATTGATACCTATCTAAGTTTCATGTAATACTGATGAATGTAGAAATATAATATATAAGGGTCTTTCTTAGAGTACAAGTTAAAATATACTATAATTAGAAATTTTGAGTAGGAAAAAACAATATTTAGAGTTTCAAAAATTTAAATACACTTATTTTAAGATGATATTTTTAGAAATAATTTGTATATATCAGTTAAGATGATGTGTTGTACTATAGGGCAAGATATATTTTTGAGAGTTAATAATTAGGGTTTACAGTGAACCAAATTAATTTGAAAATAGTTTGAAATTCGATTTGATAATTAAACCGTTAAATTAGGTTTATGAATCAAATTAGCTGAATATGAGAAGAAAACTACGTTTGTTAACTAAATGACTCGAACTTGAACTATACATACGATTCATTAGGGTCATGAGTCAACTAAATTATATATGAAAAAGATTATATTGTCGTTAAAATAGGTTTAAAGATTCACTTCAAATCTTAACCTTATATTTTCTTTTAATCTAATGGTTTTAATTGATTATTTGTATTCTCAAATGAGAAAAATATTTCTAAAAGTAATTATACAAATAAAATCAACATCATATAAATTTCAATCGTATAAATTTTATTTTATTTCAATATTTTCTTTTTAAAAAATTGTTAATTTAAAATATCAAATATATATTAAAAAATAAAGTTTAAAAAAATGTCTTTTAAGTCCGTAAAGCAAGCGAGTTGAATCCAACGAGATGAACCTAACAAGTTAAACCGAGTTGTTTGTGAACTTATAACGAGTCAAGTTTGAGCTTAAAAAAACACTACTCCGAAAAATATATACAACACCGGTTGAAAAAGGGACGTCATTATGTGTGACAGACCGTTGTTACGTAGCGTGTGGTCGTATGACCGTGATTGAAAACCTGAAAACGCACAATATATTATCATAGTTGCTTTTGTTAGAACAAGATTTGTTCATGGCATATTTTTCTTGGGTTTTGATGATAACATAGTATTGAAAGAACAATGGTTTAATATTTGTAAATATTATGGTCAGAATTTGTTCTATATTAAGCACAATTTGAGAGTTGCTGAATTGCTAGCTTTTGGTGGCAGAATCGGAAGAACACTTGCTAAGTGATATCTGGTGAAGACTCTGAAGCTGAAGGTCTCAGCATCAGAACAAGCAACATTATTGTCTCTACACTTAGTGAATGTAAATTGGCCTCTGGTACCATTCAGAGTTGGTGATAATGCTTCATCACATCATCATGAAAACCACAATAACGATACACACAAAATCCTAGTTTAGTCATCCCAAGTCTCTCTAATACTCTGTAGTTCAGTATGTTAGCTTTCTAACGCTTCAAACGACATCTAAATGGACTTACAGAGTGAATGTCATGACCGAAATCGTCGGGATATGTCAACAATTCATTAACAGAACATATGAACATAAACTTCTCTCACACAGTAGGTATAGGAATAATGCTCAAACAATTCATCTATCACTATCATGGTATAGCTCTGAGCGCTAGCTTTTTAACGCTTCAAACGACACTCGATTTGGACTTATGAATCAAAAGTTATGATCGAAATCGCATTGGAACCCAAATCTGCCTGACCACGACGACCTCGGTGACACCTGCCACCACCATGCCATGGTGACCGCCATGAACCTAAAAACTAGAAAAAAAATGCATTTTCACTGTTGGAGCCCTTTCAGAGCTCCGATTTCGATTCCGTAAAAAAGCTTTGATCTCAGAATTCAAAACTCAAAACTTATCCAATGATTAAAACATCAAATTTATGATTCATCACATATTTCCATCAATTAAATCATATATTTCATAACTTTTCAATTTTATAAACCTTCAAAACTCTCAACAATGGCGAACATATGCTAACTCATCAAAACATAATTTATGCACATATGATAGCAACAAAATTCATACCAAATTCATCATACAACAATAATTATAACAACAAGTTCAGAATCAAGCATTATAACACTCAATCCTATTCGAGGTCAAGGACTCCTCCTTCTACCCATCATGCTTAAACACCCATTGAAGAAGTAATATCGCCCTTTACCTTAGATTTTCAAAATTTTCCAACAAAAGCAAGGTGAATCGGTGCTCTTCCCTCAAGTCCCAACACTCCTCTTCAAGCTTTCTCTCCAAAACCCTTTTATATTTCACGTACTGTTAGAATAAGATATTTCTCTCTAATTTTCTATTTTTATAAACAATTAATTATCTCTCTATTTACATCTTTGGCCCAACTAACTAAATCTCTTACTCCTTGCTCCCCTTTAATTCTATCATTTCACATTTTCCATACCATTTATCTAATTCTCCATTTATATTATTTAATTAATTAATTCTACCCAACCAACTAATTACATCACCTAATTCACACAAAATAATCATTTAATTAATTTCTCACCAATTAAATTGAATAAATACATAGAATAATCGGTAATTCTGAATTGTGGTGTTATAATAAACCAATGAGTCACTGACTCTAAAGACCTCAAACATAAAGGGAAAGAAAGACTCACCAAGCCAATTCCAATCCCCCTATTAAGTAAATTCTCTCTAGTACGGATCTTATCACTTTAGATGGAGCCCAACTACTTCAGATACTAGAGAGATCTGACTCCACCACCGAGACCTGACGACCTCTAGGGAACTCACAAGAGAGAAGAAAATAGTATGTGGACACCATAGAATGGGAACCATCTTTAGAATGACTCCACCATCACTTATTAGACTCGGAGGAAAGGATAAAATCCCTAACTAATCCAAGAAGATCAAAAATCATAACCTTCTCACGCTAAAAAATGCAAGATCTTCTACACTTAAAATCCCAAACGTAACTCTGGCCCACCCACTTACCAACCTCTCTGACGGAGCGATCCTTCTGATCAAAGATAGAAAAAATCCTAGGGAACCTAGCTTTAAGAGGAATGTCCTTAAGCTAATGGTCTTTCTAGAGTTTTGTGAGAAGACCAGAGCCAACTTTCTTGATCATACTACCTCGGAGCCAATCTGAGGGGTCCTTCTCTTTGGTACCAAGAATAGAATTTCCTCTCATCCAAGGAGACACAGTGAAAGCATACAACATTAACTCCTGACATAGATGACGTCAGAAAAAAATCCATATCTAGCAGATAAAATATCTCGTCAGATCACAAAGTCTCTCGAGAGTAACCACAACCTCCATTTACCCAATAGAGCCAAGTTAACCAACTAAAGGTCACGGGCACTGAGGTCTCCAAGTTTCTTAGGCTTACAAACATCAGACCGTATAACTTAAGAGATCTTAGAACCTCATTTGACACGACCCCACAAAAGCGTCCTTTGAATTTTCATTATATTCCTCTAAACCTAAACATAAGTTTTAAGAAAATACAAAAAGAAGATAGGAATTGCATTAAAAACAGGATTAAGAAGAACCATTTGCCATCCAAGAGAGACATACATATGTCTCAACGAGTGGAGCCGCCTAAAAATGAGGCTAAGTAAGGGTTCTACGGTACATGAAAAACGTGGATTCGCCCCCACCGGGAGATCAAGATACTTAAACGGGAGGGACCCTTGGTGACCATGAAGGAGGAAGTCGCAGGCTAGGTCAAGGAAAGTAGAACCAGAATTCACTCCAATGAAACTTCTCTTGTAAAAATTCACCCTAAGGCCAAAGACTAACTCAAATACACATAAGATATCCTTAATGGAATAGAGGCTCTTAATGAGGAATCCTCCATAATAATGGTGTCATCTGCATACTGAAGATGGAAGATCATCAACTCTGAGGAACCCACTTGGAGACCTGTGTGAAGTCTTTGGTCCATACCCTTGGAAAACATCTCACTAAGACCTTCATCTACCAAGAGAAAAACGAAAGGAGCCAAGAGATCCCCTTGTTTCATTTAACCCACCTTGGATGATAATTTCTTGGGTCGGGCAACCATTAACCAAAACCACGAGATTACCATAGAAAAAACAAGCACGGATCCAACCTCTCCGCTTATCATTAAAACAAAAATGAGAGTACATATAATCTAGAAATGACCATTCAACCGGGTCATATGCTTTCTCGAAGTCTACTTTAAAAATGAAACTAGGTTTCTTATTCTTTTTAGCTGGGTCCACTAACTCATTCACATCAATAACCCCATCAACTATAAACCTGCCATTTAAGAAAGATGATTGGTTAAAATAGATAAGCTTATCCATAACATTAGAAAGCTTCCATACCAAAACCTTAGCTAGGAGATTATAGAGAGATCCTACCAAGTAAATAGGATGATAATATTCTAATTGAGAAGGAGAATCAACCTTAGGGATCAAAGTTACAAAGAAAAAAGAAAAACCATGAGGAAGAGACAGAAACTTATAAAATTACTTAAACATATTTCCAAACTCATCCTCTAAGAAGAGGCCATAACCTCTTAAAAAGGAGAAATTAAACCCCTCAAGGCTAGGAATCTTATTCCCATCATACATAGCAATAGTCTGAATAATCTTAGAAAGAAGAAATATGGCAGTAAGACTAACACACTCCTCCTCCGAGATAGATGGGGAAAACCCTCATCCAACCTATGTCGATTAAGAAGATGTTCTCTAAAAACCCTCATCCAACCCTCATCCGAGATAGATTAAAGAATCTCGGACACCCCCTCCACCCAAGCATCACTAACCTTAAAGGCTAAAATTGTGTTCCTTATGGATATGATCTTAATACAAGCATGAAAGAAACTAGTACTAGCATCCCCTCCTTAATCCACTTAACATTAGATTTTTAAAGTTGAGCATCTCTAATTTAAAGAAAATACCAAATATCTGAAGTAGCATTCTTCCTAGAGTCAATCTCCTCCACTAAAAGACCAACCTTCTCAATTCTCAAATCCAAATACCTTAGCTCCTCCCTCAAAAAAGCAATCTGAGTTTTTATGGTACCAAAGACATGATGATTC